ACCACATGATTAACTTTTGCAAACATTTGCAGTTAAATCAAAATAGACGCTGCTTTTGGTACATTGTAATGTTATGCAAATTTATTTCGATCACTGGCACGCGCATATCACCCGAAACTGATTTTCCTTCTGCCTACTGTATGTTTCTTTTTGAAGCTTACAACTGTAGCACACATTTATCCAATATCGGCAGTTTTAACTTTTGTGGAACACCCATGGCCACAGCCGAACTTGTCTTTAAGTAAAAATAAACATTTTGAAATGTGAAGTTTGAGTAAACAATCGGTTACAGTTGCATCCATCATGTTTGGCATAAATATTCGAACACAACCATTTCATGTAAACAGGTACACTTTACTTTAAAAACAACCGTCTCATCGTAGCATTTCTTGAAATCCTGGTCTGAGACCAGCTAATGCCGATAACAGCGCGAGCAGTTGACGAAACTTCATGATCAACTGTTTAAACATTGTACTTGTGGAATAAGCAAGATGATTCAGGTTTCGACAAAACACTGACCCCCTACTGACCCCTCTACTGACCCCCTATAAAATCAACGGGAAAATGAAAATTAAAAAAAGCCTAGAACTATCAATGGGACCAGTTCAAGTTCATCAGTAAATTTAGCTTACCTCAAACTTCCAAGATGACAAATGCGTTGCTGCAGATTTCCGACTCCCTTCTCATTTGACTGAAGGATTTGTCACGGAAAAGCGAGCACAGAATAAGTCGGAATATCATCAAGTATGGTATTTGTGCCCATTAGAAAATTAAGCAATGAAAATAGCGAGGAAATTCTGACAAATCAGCATGCACGCGACTAACCGCGAGCGACACAGACATGATTACATCAACCGGAAGTTTATTTTGGCAACCTTGTAACCCCATGTCCCTCGCCTTCTGCATAAACAAACTACGCTTCATGTACCAGGGAGAAAGTAATCCACCAGGCTCGTCCAAATGGCTTATACTACAGGACTTAAAATGCAAAAACAAGGCGAGAGGCCTAGAACTATCTTATGAAATTGGTCTTACGGTTGAGGCTTACGCGACGCGTGTTCGTGTTGCTTGCACAATCATGAGCCTTTCGCGAGCCTGCTCATTTGTCAGATTTCTCTTTGCTTCATTTTCCAATGCATACAAAAACAATATTTGGTGATATTCAAGCTTATTCTGTGCTCGATTTTCCATCAACAAAATCTCCACTAAACAGTCAAAGGAGAACACGAGAGTTGGAAATCTACAACGCGTCCGCCATCTTGGAAGTTTGAGGTAAGATAAATTTATTCATGAACTTGAATCGGTCCCATTGATAGTTCTGGGCTTTTTTCATTTTCATTTTCCCATTGATTTTATAGAGGGTCAGTAGGGGGGTCAGCTGGGGGTCAGTAGGGGTTCAGTTGACCGGGGGTCAGTGTTTTGTCGAAACCCAGATGATTCAACCTTTGTATTTCTTACCCATGTGCTTGCAATTCTTATGAATACAATTGCCCCTGTCTGTTACCACCAGATTTAGAAATGAATTGTTCGTTTCTTTAGCTAATATGGTACATACCTCTGAATAAAACACATACTGTGACATCATTTTTCTTGGAGTGTTCCAACAGTAATCCGCGGCCACTTACAAAACGTAAGCAGCAAGACAGAAAAACCACAAAGGCTTCTTCGTCAATTGCACCACGCTGTCCAGATTTCTTTCTTACAAAGTTTCCAGACTTCGCTGTCTTTTAAAATTCCAAGACTTCGCCGTTCTGTTGGCAAGTCTGAATAATTGTCATGGTGTTAGTTGAGTAAGTTCTTGACTTTGTGTGATGGTCCCAGTTCAGACCATGCGGCAAATGTGGATTGCATGACAGACGGCCACTTGCAAAGTGTCCAGAGTGGGTAAAGATGGCGGCCAGTGAAACTGTTTGCTCATGCAAGTAACATGGTTCGCACTGTCAGCCTAAATAAACATTTTAGGATGAAATTGAAGGATGTAGGGGGAAAGGGGTGTTGTTTAATTCTGCAAGAGGACAGAACTCGACGAACTGACAGAGCTGTCCGTGGGTCCTGCTATCACAGCATGTCTACGTAGATTAATGGAAAGTATTACCGTGGTCACAAAAGTTGCGCAAACACCTTTCCTCTTTACTTTTAAAATACATGTTTGTCGTTCGCACTTTTTGAATAGAAATGCACAGGTGATAGGGCTGGAATACAAAAAGGACAAAGGAGGCCTAGAGGGATCAGATCTTAGATACGCGGTGTGAGTTTACATACATATTCACCCCTGTTGCCTTCTGCTAAACTATATAGACAATAATATGGGCACTTTCCAAAAATCGGACACTCAGACACCTCGTCGTACCTTTTAGGGATTAAAAATGAAGTTTTAGTAGCCCTCAGGGCGTTTAGCCTCAAAAGGTCCAAAGCGGGAGCTTTTGTGATACCTTTTAAGGTATTGAGCCGAAAAAAATATGACGCAGGGAGATAATGTGTTATGTAAGAATTGGTATCTTTTGGAGGAGAAAAAACAGGATCTTGGTACCTCTTAGGGGATCTTAGGGGATCAAAATTTTTGAGCAGTACCCTCGTCCTTCTTATATGGGTGTCCCCCTCCCCTCAAGGTCCACGTTGCCATCTTCACTCACTTCGCAAAACGTCAAATATTGACGTATTTGGTACAGTGGCCGATTGTCACACAATCCACATTTGCCTAATTGTCCAAACCGGGACCACCAAACAAAGTCAAGTACTTACTCAACTAACACCATGGCAGTTATTCGGACTGGCCAACAGAACGGTGAAGTCTTGGAATTTTAAAAGAGAGCGAAGTCTGGAAACTTTGTAAGAAAGAAATAGAGTGTACCTGTTTGCATGAAATGGTTGTGTTCGAATATTTACACCAAACATGATGGATGCAACTGTAATCGATTGTTTACTCAAACTTCACGTTTCAAAATGGTTTTTTTTACTTGAAGTCAAGTTTGGCTGTGGCCATGGGTGTTCCACAAAAGTTAAAACTGCCGATATTGAACGAATAATGTGCGCTACAGTTGTAACCTTCAAAAAGAAACATACAGTAGGCGGAAGGAAAATCGGTTTCGGGCGATATGCACGTGCCGGTAATCGAAGTAAATTTGCATTACATTACAATGTGCCAAAAGCAGCGTCTACTTTGATTTAACTGCAAATGTTTGCAACAGTTAATCATGTGGTCAATCTAAAAGGAAAAAAACATTACAAGTATCCTTAGTGACGAAAAAGGTTTCCATTCGCTTATTTTTGTTCTTGATGAAGGTAGCTGGCCAAGTTCCATGTTGGTTTTACGAATGACGAATTTACAAAAATGTAC